AATTTGGGAATTTGGGAATTTGGGAATTGGGGAATTTGGTAATTTGCTAATCTAGTGATATAGTGATTTGGTAATTTGCTAATCTAGTGATTTAGTGATTTGGTAATTTGGTAATTTGATGATTTGATAATTTGCTAATTTGGTAATTTGATAGTTTGGTAATTTGGGAATTTGAGACTTTGGGAATTTAGGAATTTGGGAATTTAGGAATTTAGGAATTTGGGAATTTGGGAATTTGGGAATTTGGGAATTTGGGAATTTGGGAATTTGGGAATTTGGGAATTTGGGAATTTGGGAATTTGGGAATTTGGGAATTTGGAAATTTAGGAATTTTGGAATTTGGGATTTTTGGAAATTTGGGAATTCGGGAATTTGGTAATTTGCTAATCTAGTGATTTAGTGATTTAGTGATTTAGTGATTTAGTGATTTAGTGATTTGGTAATTTGGTAATTTGATGATTTGATAATTTGGTAATTTGGTAATTTGGTAATTTGGTAATTTGGTAATTTGGTAATTTGGTAATTTGATAGTTTGGTAATTTGGGAATTTGAGAATTTGAGAATTTGGGAATTTGGGAATTTGGGAATTTGATAATTTGGTAATTTGGGAATTTGGGAATTTGGGAATTTGGTACTTTGTAATTTGGAAATTTGGAAATTTGGTAATTTAGTAGTTTTGGAATTTAGTAATTTCCTAATTTGGTACTTTAGTAATTCAGTCATTTTATCAATACAAAAATATAAAAATTTCAAATTTTCCAACTTGCAAATCTAAATTCTCCAAACCTAAAAATCTCCAGATTCAAAAATCTAATCTATAATTAAAAAATCCAGTTATAAACATCACATAATTTCAATATGGCTATTTATAATTACCAAACGTAATATCAAACTCGATTGAAAGAAACATTATTACAATGAATCAGAAATACAAATACCTATCTACCTCATTGTGTCACAAATATTATACTCTTGTCTTGATATACCCAGTTCTGTTTCTGTCACCATATTGTAAAATAACTAATTTTTTCTACAAAACGCCTGTACAAACTCTTTGACGGGCGATAACAACGTTACAGAATTTTCGATACAGGTTTCGTTTCAGTTACAAATAAAAGTGCTCGCGTCTGTTCACTTCGGTCCATGTTTTTGTTTATTCAGCTGAAAGCTTTCTGAAAGTGAACTTTGATTAAAGCTGCAGCGTAATTTTTGTACAGGGAATTTCGCATTTTCTTTTTCAAAGTGTTCCTGCAGCAACGTTTCGGGGGAAAACTGTGCGAAAAAGCTCCAGGAAAATTCTGTATCTTCTAAAGTTTCGTTTCTTTTATAAGCTTCTTTTCTGCATCAATTATTTTAGGACGTTTAAGATTTGAGTAGTGAAATTTTAATTGCAATTAGTTTGTGATAGTATGTTATTGATTAGTGAAATTTTTGTTGCTGTTTTATATAAGTGCTGTTTTATTTTGTTGCTGTTTTATATAAGTGCTGTTTTATATAAGTGTAAATACGTATGTGAATATATGTGTAAATACACACATCGATATATGTAGAAATACACATATGAGTACATATATAAATGAATACGTAAATACATACATACATACACTCATAAATGGATACATTAGTACAGTAGATACGCACATAAATATGTGTGCAGAAATACACATATGAATACGTACATAATTGCACACATGAATATATGTATATAGAAATGCACATATGAATACATATATAATTTCACAACATAAATATACACATACATACACTCATAAATGCATACATTCACACACAAATACACATATGAACACATATGTAAGTACACACATAAATATATACAGAACGATACATATGATTTCATACATAAATGCACATATAAATACATACATACATACACTCATAAATGTATACATAAATACATACAGAGATACACATATGAATACACACGTAAATACATACATATACAGAAATACACATATAAATATATACATAAATACACACATAAATACATTCATAAATGCATACAGAGATACACATATGAATACACACGTAAATACATACATATACAGAAATTCACATATGAATATATGTATACATAAATACACACATAAATACACTCATAAATGCATGCATAAATACATACATACACACATAAATACACACATGAATACATACATATGAACACACATGCGTACATACATAATTTCATATAAACTGC